AGCAATCGGAAGTTCGGGTCACACTCTGCAGGGGGGAAGGAGAGAACTGGTGAGAGACGGATGGCGTTCGGGAGTCAGCCCAGCGGCGGAAGAGTCGGACTTCCGACTGGCCCTTCGCCACGGGCTCCTTGATTCGGGCTTGGGCACATCACACCCCCTTGTGGCCACGTCCCGTCCCCCCCCCCAGCCCGAAACCAGGGCTTTTTTCCTGGGAGAACGGGCTGGAACAAAGTTCTGGAATCTCTTCAACAAAATCCTTTTACAAATGTTTAAAAGTCTGTTAAGTTTTCAGTATACTGAAAACTTCCCTTCCCACTTAAGAGTTCCAGCACCTCTTCCTTTTTTTTTTTTTTAAACGCCCTGCCTGAAACACAGCATTAACTGTGGCCTTTTTGTAGAAAAAGCCCAGCATAATAGGCCACACCCAACAGCATGAACTCATTAGCATATTAGGCCACACCCCTGACAGCACAGCTCATTAGCACATTAGGCCGCACCCCCATGTTACCAGAAGTGTGGCTATGCAGCCACACCCACCTTTTGCTGCTTATTCTATTTACCTTGTTTGTTGTCCAAACCCAGGGCTTTTTTTGTAGCAGGAACTCCTTTGCATGTTAGGCCACACACCCCTAATGTAGCCAATCCTAATGCGTTTCTGCTGTTGGGTGTGGCCTAACATGCTAATGAGTTCCTGCTGGGCGTGGCCAACTCGGGAGCCAGACGGAACTGCGTTTCTGCCCAGAGATAGCCCTGCTTACAGGACTGTTGTGCAAACATTACAGTTAAATGCTTTGTACAAATGCAAGTTGGAGAGGCAGGGAAGATAAGGGTTATACTGGGGATGTATTTTACCCACATCGCAAACTGTGGAGTTCTGCAAAGGAGGAAGGGGGCATGTTTTAAATAAATAAATAAATAACGGGAGGTGCTGTAGTGGGGAACCTCTGAGTTATGGAGGGGAGGGGGGGTCTTTTGTCTGGGTGGAAGAGGCTTGCTAAAAAGACCTGGGAGGGCATGTTTGGTTTCCAACCCCCCAGTTGTGAGATGGCGGTCAGGGTGGCAATGCAGAACTCCTTGAAACATTTTGTGGGGGGGGGGGGGGGCGGGGAGAGTGCACTCACCTTTGAGTTATGGAGGGGAGGGGGGGTCTTTTGTCTGGGACGGCAGGTGTCTAAAGGTGCTGGGGGTGGGGGAGGCTTGCTAAAAAGACCTGGGAGGGCATGTTTGGTTTCCACACCCCCAGTTGTGAGATGGAGGTCAGGGTGGCAATGCAGAACTCCTTGAAACTTTTTGTG